TACTCGATAATAACTTAATTTTATTTTTCCAGTGCAATATATTCAATTAGAATTAATTGCTGGCATTTTTGAGCGACATAGGCTTTCAATAACAGAAAATTGTGTGAATTTAGATCCAAGCGAAATTGAAGATGTTCTCTCTGATATTTACTTTGCAGCTTGTAAGGAGAATAATACTAATTTTGATGTTGATAATACAACAAAACTTGCAGTGGATTATATCTTAAATACATTTGATAAGTATGTTATCTCAATTATTGTACATTTTATACTTAGTATAATATAATTATTACAAATTTTTTCAATTTTGTAGACAATATACTAGAAGTGTTTCCGTATTTTCTGTGAAAGTTGCTTTAATATTAATGAGCTCTGGAAGATTACAAGAAAAGTATGGTTACTTTTATCAACAATTAGCTGATCATAATGCATGCTTGTCTAAAGCCAGCTTACACACATTGTTAACAAGTTTTTGTAAGATAACTGAAATGCTAGGAGAATGTGCTGTTTATGGGTATCAAAATATCCAATCACATATTGATAATTGTTTTTCAAAGGTATAATAAAATCAACTTTTAAATATACTCGATTTATAGTTAATTAATAAAATTTCATGATAGTCTCAAGGATGCCTTGGAGTCACAGAATCAGAGTTTGCAGCATGGATTATGCAAGAACCTCCCTTACTTGTTTGGATAACAACATTTAATCGCATTAAATCAGTAGAGCACAGTACGTGTTATACCATGATATCTATAAATAATTTTATATTGTATGAGATTCGTAAAAATTTCTTTTACTTCAGTCACGCACAATATAAGGTGCTGTTCCTGCAAAATAACACCTATTCAAGGACCTCGTTATACATGCATGAAGTGTACAGCATATCACCAGTGTCAACAATGTTTTCTGTATGGTAAAGTATCAGGAAAACATAAATTGAAGCATCCAGTTCGTGAATTCTGTACCAAGGTAAGATCATATTTTTTATTTCTATTATACAAAATAATAAATATAAATATTTTTCAGACATCGAATCGTGAAATAACGAAGTTAATTATTGAACTAATAAGGAATAAATTAAGACTGTGTTCTACCAGGTCAATTGAAATGAACACAGAAGATCAAACATTACAAATAACTAGGTAAGCATGAGAGAGAGATAAATCAACATATGCTTTTTTATTTGAGGTATTCTGATTAAAAATGCTTTCCTAATATTTGCTACAGCAACGAAATAGGACACACAGATAACGAATCAATAAGAAGTACAATGAGAAGGCGAGTTTTAAACGATCCACAAAAAGAACTGCAAAGCATAATAACTCATCTAGAAGAAGAAAATAAACAATTGCAAATTGAATTACTTGATATACGAGGTACTAAAGCAGAAAGACTTCAACGGCATAGAGCTACCATTGAATCACAGTTACAACGTTTAAAAATATTAAAAGTAAAATAAATTTAATTATTTAGAAGATTTTAAAAATTACTGCAAATAATTGAAATCTTATTTTAACTATTTTTAGAAATATTTGTTTGCTGATAGGACTCACATGCCTCATCTAATTAATTACATGCAAAGTACACCAATGATTCCTCCCTTATCATCAAGATTAGCTGCTTTACCCATAAATTTTGAGTTGAGTCCAATAATTCGGCAAGAAAATATCGAGCAAAGTTCAAATCTAAATGATACAGATATATTACAACCAAATAATTTTAATCCAACACTATCTGGAGAATGTATCATCGAAGAAAGCAATGATGTCGAAGAAGCTTCCACAAGCACAAATTTTGGTAATGCGCTAGAACCAACTCACATAGAACTGAGTACATGGATTGGAGGTACATTGTTAATATTATATGTGGTATGTATTTTTATGGTCATTCTAAGATAATATATTTAATTTATAGGTAATAAAAGATCGGAAATAAATCCTATGGATAGTGGCTTCTCGCAATGGTTGGGATCCAATGATTCTGGGTCGAAGAAAGAAAAATATTCAATGAAAACAGTGACACCAAGCACTGAGAACGAATCGCCGTTGATTATCTCAGACTCCCTTATGGGTATTTACAGAGATAATACACCATCTTCACTTCAACGGCCTGATAAGCATTCACAACACAGTAGTTTGCAAAATATTCAAGGGGATTTAAATGACATACTAGACAGGTTGCAAAATATGGTTGCAGACGATTGTTTACTGGATGGTAAGTTACATTGTGGCAGCACAAACTTGTTTGTTATAGATAAGTGTTTTTATACAAATCATTGTTGCAGATTCTTATGTAGCTAACGATAACTGCAAATTAAAACGTGCTACAACAGAAATGGAAGATTTATTAACAGGTCTTATTCAGGGTATGGAATCCCGTAAAAGTAAACTTACTACTATCGTGTGACGAACTTTTAAATTAGGAATAGTGCCTCGTAACTTCAAAATTGATGTTTATGAAATAAATGTGTCCGTCCAAGAAAATATAGATATCATGAAGTCATGCATTTTAAATAATACTCGTTTGTAAGTAACTGACATGAAGTGTTGGTAAAGTATTTTACATCTAACTATTAGATAGAAATACGTATTATGCATCGGTGCAAAGATTGGAATAAATTTCTTTGTATTAAAAGAGAATGAAA